ATAAACTGAAGGCAAGAATTATGGCAGCATTCAACAATTTAAACAAGGAGACCGCCCAGAAGAGATGCTGGAGTTTCCGAAGTCGTCTGGAGGCAATGGCGATTTTATTGAATAAATTTATTCTTTAGTATTTCAAGATATTTTTGTGTCATTTTGGTAAATATATCTGTTAAAATGAGATGTCAGTATTATTTTCATTTTGCGTAATTTAGTCGTCAATTTATCCATCACACCCTGTATATATACTAATATGTATTTAATATATTTTTCATTCAATATGATATTAGTAAAAGAACATAAACATACATATAAGTTAATAGAAATTTGTTAATGTAAACTAGTAAATATAGAATCATGCATCTAATTGTGAACGTAAGCAAAAAATAAATTAATTTTAAAAGAAAATCAAGATATATGGCTTGAATTGCAATCAATGTGGTTCAACATATTTCAAGAGGTATTTGTTTTTATGTCTACGTAAGACTATTAATTCATTACTTTTGTTTAGTAAATTAGGGTTACTTCATTTTTTTAGAATAGTAAATTTTTGTAGAAGGCAAAGGTTATATTTCTTTCGCCTTTACTATTGTAAAATTTCCTCATGGCCATTATTTCCCGAGTAATTTTTGGTACAGACCCACCACCCTTTATTTGCCAGTAATATTTAGAAAGAGCAATATTATTTTTGTATTCATCGGTACTTATAAAATCGATATTTCCAATGCATATTAGTTGAGCAATATGTATTTTTTCTTAATCAGATTGCATGCTATATATATATATATATATATATATATATATATATATATATATATATATATAATTATTACAAATATAAAATTTGTCATTTAGCTGATTGATTGATTAGCTCTAGAGTTTCGTTGACGTCAAGGGATATCAGCAACCGAGTTTTTACTTTCTCGTTTTTCTTTTATATTACGTTGAAAAAATAACTTATGCACTTCTCACTGGTGTAAGGTTGATTTCTTCTTCTTCTTTCATTGTGTGTATGCGTGTGCGTGAGCCCACCTGCGCGTATGTGTAGAATGTCATGGTTATTTCCTTTTTCGTCGTGTTTCTTATCTCTTTATATATATATATATATATATATATATATATATATATATATATAAATGAAATGGACAAAGTCTGACAATTATTTAAAATTTTTTTTAAACATTCTTTTTATTGATACAAGTATTTAAGAAATGTTATGTTTATAATAAACAGTATTAAATAACATTTACCGACTGAGAAGAAATTTCATAGAAAATATCCGTCCTTCGACAGCATTCGAACCTGTATTCTATACGGAACCGTAATATAGCCTGACGTGCCTTACCTCTCGGCCACAAAGGATCGTTCGGTTGGCAATAATGTGTGACCTCATTTGTTTACATTTGATACACTATGAGCAGTTACGATTGTACGTGAGAGATTCATGGAAGATTGAAGTTTATAAGCAGTAAATTCGAACTTGCCAACCGAATGCTCCTTTGTGGCTGAGAGGTAAGGCACGTCAGGCTATATGACGGTTCTGTATAGGATACAGTTTCGAATCCTGTCGAAAGACGAATGTTTTCTATGAAAATTTCTCGGACATTCAGACCGGTAAATGTTATTTAATACTGTTTATTATAAACAGAGCATTTACTTAAATATTTGTATCTATAAAAAGAATGTTAAACATAAACATTAAATATATATAATACGGTGTGTGTAAATATTTGATATATGGATAAGTATAGCTTGAAAATAAACTTAAATTATAATTTTAAAATTCTGACATAAATCTTCGAAACATATTTATGTTAAAACTTAGTGCATCTAGCTTGCACATCACTGAATTATTTACTTATCAATGGTTAGTAATACTTATATTTAGGTAAACACCAATTTCACCAAGTCAATGACATCTGAAATAAATGTGGAACGTTCACATTTTCAAGCAATTATCACTCTGCCATACAAGCATTGCTTATTGCGCCTATAATTTTGTCGATTAATTAGAAATGTGAATAAATTTGAATGACGTCCGCTGGTTTAGCTTTTCCTTTTTAATGAACTCCTCCTGCCAGAAAGGCTATACAACTATGTAAACATATCTTCTTCTGTGTGCTTTCTTCCCTCAGGGCGTTTACGATCATGCCTCTCCATAATTTCCTGTCCTTTGTACCTCTTAATAAATTGATATTTCTCCTAATTCTTGTTCTGGCAGCCATCCAGTCAAACTCACTAGGTAGGTTATGAGATGTTTTCTTCTGTCCCTCTTGCCTTCAATCTGTTCTAAGAGTATCAAATTCTCCAAGCCCCTTTTCCTTGTTATGTGTCTTAGAGATTTTAACTGTGTCTTCCTGATTTTAAGTATGAATCTCCTTTTTGTTTCCATTTTCTCTAAATCTTCTTTGTTGCTCACATGTTCGTTCCATGGTTTACACAGCATCCTTCTGTAGCTTCAAGTCTCTTCTACATTTCTAAGGAGATTGTCCAGCATTCACTGCCATATAGGAGGAATGATATTACGTAAAGTTCTTTCCTTTGCTTCTAACGAAATTTTCTCGTTTCCTAGCTTTTGGAACGCATCTTTCGCTACTCCAATGCACCTTCGGATTTCAGTGTCGTAATTTCCGTCCACTTGTACTTGTTTGAATTTCTAAAAACAAATGACAACGGACGTTCCGGTAGCCAGGCCATTTTAGGTCCTATTTTTATTTTCTTACAAATTTTTATACAGTTAAAAGAGCACTATTTTCTTAATTGCTTGGAATCCACAATTCTGAAAGATTCAACACTCCTGGGCCAACTGCATCTTTTTAAGGCGTTTGGTACAATTTGATAGGATTGCGTTCATTTGAAAAAACCAAACAAGGCTTTATCCTTTTGTTCAGATAGATAGATAGATAGATAGATAGATAGATAGATAGATAGATAGATAGATATGAACAGATTGAGATAGATAGATAGATAGATAGATAGATAGATAGATAGATAGATAGATAGATAGATATGAACAAACTCATATAGATATGAACAGACTCAGATAGATAGATAGATAGATAGATAGATAGATAGATAGATAGATATGAACAGACTGAGATAGATAGATAGATAGATAGATAGATAGATAGATAGATAGATATGAACAGACTCAGATAGATAGATAGATAGATAGATAGATAGATAGATATGAACAGACTCAGATAGATAGATAGATAGATAGATAGATAGATAGATAGATAGATAGATAGATAGATAGATAGATAGATAGTGTTGTAAACTAGAAAGGGTTACTGAATGAGGAATAACCAAAACGGAGGTTGGAAATGAAATTGTAATCTTTATAACATCACCAAAAGGCAATACTCGCCAGCGGCGTGAAATAAGTGAACCACTGCTAGTGGTGGACTACAAAGACAGCATATTACTCCCACTTACCATAGTGTCCAAAATATTTATGAGGATTGGAACATACCCATTAATGTTCATACTTACGGTATAAAACAGATAGATAGATAGATAGATAGATAGATAGATAGATAGATAGATAGATAGATGTGAACTGATTGATTGAGATAGATATTCCTGAAATCTGTTCTTTTATTGTCCTTTGTCTTCATTAAAATCATTTCATTCTCTTTCACTCCCAGTTACCCATTGTGTCTTAGTGGGATTATCGTCTTGATTGGGATGAAATGATTAAAAGAATGTATTAAGATACAAGGACAGAAACAAAGAAAAGAGTGCCTAGATGTTATGAAATATCAATCCTCATATATGATTGTGAAAGCTGGACAATTTACTCACAGATGAAAGGGGATTTGAGGCAGCAGAAATGGGATTCTACAGAAGGATGTTGAGAATACGATGAGCATTTGAGCAAGAAGAAAACTTTAAGGAAAATGAGGAAAAAGTAAGCCTACTTAGAATAAAAAAATCACTTGACATTTGTTGTTCAGTATCAATTTGATCCAAACTTTGACTCGCTACTCACAGTTAATATAAGTTTCATACTAACTTTGACACTCGACTCAGAGTCAACTATTATGTCTAGCTAACCAAAGAACCTGGTTTATACTGCAACTACAATATTGTATCTGAGATGCATCATTGTGTAAAACAGATAGATAGATAGATAGATAGATAGATAGATAGATAGATATGAACAGACTGAGATAGATAGATAGATAGATAGATAGATAGATAGATAGATAGATAGATAGATAGATTTTGTAATGAATATGAATATTGAATACAAAGAAAATCATTAAGTCATCCCTAATTATAAATAATAAATACTTTTCATTACAAATATCAGAATCCGAAAAATGGGTAAAATATTTTTTCTTTATTTCCAAATATGTTTTAGCTTTCGTTATTATTTGAATTAGTAAAATATCCGGAAAATATGACAACTGAAAAAATTTAGGTGCTGTTGATAAATTTATACATAATTGTGTTGACCTTAACAAGCAAATTTTGCCGATCACCATTCTCACTGGGTGCTACACACTTGTGATCATATACTATGTTTAGTGGATGCTAAACAGGAAACGGGTCCATATCTTTAATATGTGCACCATTAGGTTTTACCTGAAAATGATATTTCTGAAGACATTACGGTAAAAATAATCAGCAAATTTGTTCAGGGTCACTAATAATGTGATTACAGAGGATTTTTTCTCGAATGTTGTACAGGCAAAAAAAGAAGAAAAAAAAATCAATTTTACGGGCCAAGATTTCAAGAAGCTATTTTTGCAAAAGTCCTAGCAATGAACACATTTGTAAATTAACCAAAACCAATGTCATATTTCCTGAAAAGAATAGAAAAAAATAGTTAAGATACTGAAAATATAATGGACAGAGTATGTGTGCAACGACGAAATTTCTGGGCAAAATGGAAACAAAAAAGATCACTTATACTTATAATCAGAAAGTGGAAGTTGAAATTTCAAGACACATAATGAGGAAAGAGGGATTAGAAAATGTAACACATAAAAGGTTTGCGGCTACATCACGTTAAAACACCGGTTCTCGTACAATTACCGAAGTTAAGCAACGTCGAACCAGGTCAGTATCTAGATGGGTTACCGTTTGGGAATACTAGGTGCTGTAAACTTGTATTTGCGGGTGGAGCAATGGATAATGGCTCGGAATTGTTATTTGGAGAGCTGCATTCCAATTCCCGTTGGGTTCGTTATTATCAATTACGCGCAAATGCCCTTTGTAAAGGTATGAACCAGTCTCTTCTCTTCTCTCCAGCTATGGATTAATTAGTAAGACTGCTATCACTAAACAAATATTATCGCAAAAAAAGTCTTAATATCTAAAACTATTTTCTGCAAAGGGTTGGTAATTCGTTGAAAATGAAATAATCAATCAACTGAAAGGATATATTGAAGTCAAGAGGAACAGATTATGGCGTAGAAAACGAACAAATCAGTCCTCGTTATGTATTCAGTTCTTATTACAAAATCTATCATGATATATTTGCCGCCATCTGTTTTTCTTTTTTCTTTTTTTTTGACACATAATTTTGAAGTTTTATCATAGAATATTTGCAAAAATACCTTCTTGTAATCTTGGCTTGTAGAGTTTTCAGAACTGTCCTTTTTCAGAATTGTCCTTTTTTAGAATTGTCATTTTTCAGAATTGTCCTTTTTCAGAATTGTCCTTTTTTAGAGTTGTCCTTTTTCAGAATTGTCCTTTTTTGCATGTACAACGTCAAGTTATTAATGACTCAAAAGTATTTTGATATTTTTACCCTGATATCTCCAGAAATATTATTTCCTCCCGCCCCAAAAAGAAACAATCAGACTGATTCACGTATTAAGGATATGTACCTGTTTCCTGTTTATCATACACTAAACTTAGTACAAAACAAATCGTATGGGGCCACCAGTAAGAATGGGGTTGGTAACACTTCCTTGTTAAACCTTCCTATTTGAAGCTGAGTCATAATTAAAATAATATCGATATAAAATTATAGTAAAAACTAAATTCTCTTAAAATGTGTATTTCTTCCTGGTTATTATGTTATATGCCCTTCTGCGTATGCAATGCAATTTTCACTTTCACGCATACTTTTTATACCAAACCTCATCCTATACAAGGTTCATGGGCCACTCAAGGTAGAGGATTGCTGTCAAAATTATGGTGAATGAGGAGTGAAAAAGTGAATATTATGAGGATATCTATCCTCATAATATTCACTTTTGACTTGAAAGATTGACTGTAGTTTTCAGAGTAGCATCCACGCTGAAATCTCTTCCACAAAGTAGTATACAAAGAGAATATTTCTTAGATTTAGAATGCGGGGGAAATGAGGACTCTGCGGAAGTAGCATAGCGTGTGCTAACAGTAAACTGGTGGAACTAAAGAATGGGGCCCATCTGGGCATTTGTCATGGAAATAGCGATATCGCTGGAAAGTGTTTTTGACTTTGGGAAAAAAGATTGCAGAGTGGAAAATAATACACAAGACCGGGTAAACGATTTTGAACTTTTATCAAGGCTGGGCAGTGGAGACTGAACAGCTCTTACCCAGATGTAGCAGAAATGCTCGATTTGGGGGCCTAATCTGATTTGTGATATAAAGACAGGAGTCATTATAATATTCGCTAAACTTATCTTAGTTCGATGACCAAACGACGAAAAGAATGTCTTCTTGAATATACCAGATTTATATAGTATACCTACAAGATTTATATAGTTTATACCAGATTTACATAGTATATCTACTTTGACTGCTTCGTCCCCTAATAAATTTAATTACAGGATGCCGAGTAAAAAAGCGGCAAATTTATTATCACTGTTTTAATATTCCAGGAATAATTAAGCTTGAATAACTTTGAATAATCTTCTTGAATATACATGACCTTGAATAATCGTTCGACTCTCGCGTAATTACTTAACTCTGATTGGTTCTTTTATGATTGACTAATTGCTACTCGATCTTGTGACTCATCACTTAAACGTTATTTGCAGACAATATTCGTCTTTCGTTCTGCCCTTCTAGTATCTTGTATGGCCAAACAACTCACTGATTTTGAACATCAAGTTATCGTATTTTTCAAAGAATATCCAATGTGGGGATTGACGAAATGTGAAGATATTTTTCCTGGATTTTTCAGTCACGTCAGTCGGTACCAATTTTCAACGATTTTCTCTCGCCTTTCTGAATTTTCCACTTTTTTTTTTTTTTTACTGGGCACTCTCTAGTTATTCTAAAACAAAGAAATATCTCATGCAATTTACTATTGCTAATTCTACATGGATTAATGTGCCTTGCCCAAAAATTTCCCGATAAAAAAATGTTCTTAAAATAATCGATTCATACCAACGGATTGTCCAAATTATTTTTGCGGGAATTTACCATTTGTTAAAAAATTATATGGTTTCCTTCTGACCATGTTTCTTCCTGTTTTAAGATGGTTATTTTTTATAGCGTCTTTGAAAACAATAACCGTGCTAATAAGGCTTTTTCGTACATTCTCCGATTAAAGAGTTTAAAACAACATTCAATTAAACTGCTATCTTTTTTTTTATTATCCTTCGATTTGGTGAACGCTAAGGTAGGCAATTATAAAGTCCATTAATAAAATGACACGACAATAATTCCAATGGTTATTTATAATAAATGTCAACGAAGAATGCCACATCACCTAATCGAATATAGAACGAGAGAAAAACAAAATTCTAGACACTAACTGACGTCATTCGGTTAATAAACAAAAGGCATTTTAGTTTAAAATGGCTGAAATATTTAACAAAGAATTATTAAAGATTTGTCGGAATTTTTAAAATAAGGAATTATCAAACGAGCGCATGAGCAATGATAAGATCTTAGAGAGGATGCAAATAAGGATGGGGCTTATACTTAACATGAGGAAGAGGCAGATAAAGTTCTTGAGACGCATGATGAGGAAGGAGGGGCCGGAGAATCTGATACTCACGGGTCGAATAGAGGGAAAGACAGACAAGAGAAAACAACGCATGACATACCTAGCAGCCTTAAGTAAGTGGATGACAGAACATGGTCTGTGGGAGGTGGCAGAAGGAAGGAACTTGTTGAGACCTGCAAGGGATAGAGGGAGGTGAAGAGCCATGATCGCCTACGTCCTGAAAGGACACGGCACATAAAAAGAAGAAGGGATTGTTCATGCGGGCCTGGAGAATCTGATACTCACGGGTCGAATAGAGGGAAAGGGAGACAAGGGAAAACAACGCGTGACATACCTGGCGGCCTTAAGCAAGTGGATGAGAGAACGAGGTCTGGAAGAGGAAGCAGAGGGAAGGAACTTTTTGAGAGCTGCAAGGGATAGAGGTGGGGTGGAGAGCCCTGATCGTCTACGTCCTGAAAGGACATGGCATATAGAAAGAATTGTACCAGCAAACTCAGCTAAGTGATTCTCGTCACGATGCCAGACGGATATGACATTTAATTTCTGGAATTTTGGGGACATTTGACATTCGTGAAACTAGAGCAATGTTTCTCGATCTTCTTTACTTCAGGGCTCACTTCTAGAATAACTAAAACCCTGGGATGCACTTTAAATTTAATATGGAAAAATTAGTTATGAAATTTGAAAAATAATAAAGTAACTTGAAATAAGTATTTATTTTTAAGACCTTACAATTCAATTACATTATTGTAACATTGTATATTTAAGTATGCTTGTGTGAAAACTGCGCTTGATGTGCTTTGGATATTTTTAGGTCTTCTTTGATAAACATAGTCTCATTTCTTTCATGTATTTAATTTTAAATTTGATCTATTACTTATTCTGCTATTGAAAGATTAAGGATTTTAGAATCAAGTTTAAAATATCAAATGACAAAGAATTGGAGATGGAAGCCTGGTGTCTAAGCTTCTTAAAATATAAAAATAAATTATAAATTACATTTCTACTAACTTAGGGCGTACCTGGCTATCTTTCGGGTGCATTAGTACTCCTGGGTGCATCGGTTGAGAAACGCTGATCTACAGTGTCACCTGTTTGCCAGGAATACCAGATGAATGCGTCAGTATCCCCTGAAGACAGAAATATGGGTCCTTAATGAGCATGAACAGAGGCAGATGGATACAGCTGTCTGCGTTAATGGACTGATGACATCGGCTCAGATTACATCTATATTCAATGCAGAAGGTGTCAGACGCCTAGCCAGCAGATCCAGCGTTCTTTAGCTTCTACAGGACATGAGATCAAAAGACACGCTTAGATACTTCAGTTAACACCACGACACCAGCGCTTCATATGTGCTCGTTACGTCGCTAAATGGACCCTAGAGGACTTCTAAAGTGTGGCGTGGCCTGATAAATAACAGTTCCAGTTCTTTGGGGCTGAAGAAAGCAACCTGCGGAACCTGTTCATGTGGCATGGGTAGGGTCAATTGGTCGGCCTGAACACGTCATTGACTTCTAATAGCTTTGTTGCACTTCGTGATCATCCATGAACTCCATCTACCCCAACAATGGTGGATTCTTCCAGCAGGATAATGTGCCGTTGTCATCAAGACCCAAGTTGCTTAGAATTGATCAGAAGGAGGATTCTGGAGACGTCTAACAAATGATATGGTCACCACATTTGCTTGACATTCACCCAAACTATCATTTATGGTATGTTGTGAAGAGGCCAATTTGCATCCAAGATCCTGCACCTACAAATATCGAGAAGGAGGAGGAGGAGGAGCTGTGGGCCAGCTATCAAGACTGGATGTCTCATCATTTTTCCAAAGGTCTTCCAATCACTTGTGGAATCGGTGCCAAGTCTGATTGCTGCACTTTACTAAAAAGAGATTTTTTCCTAACCAATAGATTAGGCCAGTTCTCGGTTTTATCTGACGCAGTCCCGGTCTGTCTTAAAGTTAGAACTCTAAGTTCGCTTGTCCGAGCTTGTTTTTGTTGTCTGTCGATACCAATTCTTAGTTTGTGAACTTTTTGCCATATTACTGTTGCTTTGCCTTATTACTGTTAATTTGTCTTGCATATAATGGTTGCTTACTTTATATTATTTTTTTGCCTTGTTCTTTTCTTTTTCTCGTTATTGTTTATTGCAAACTTTTTCAATTCTGTTTGTTGGACAGTTCTATTATTTATTTTGCATTTGACCATGGC